AATTTTTGGGAATGTCCCTGTGGCTGGTACCAGCCCTGCTAAGAACCACAGCTTTGGCTGTTCTGTGGGCCATGGGGGTGCTGATATCCCTGCATCAGAGGACACGTTGACCCCCCCCGCCAGTCTATGCTGTAACCGTTGTGTGAACGGGGCATTGTCTGCCTTGTTCCTGTTCTATCCCTAGGGCTTGGCCCAAGGTGTGTCCTTAGAAAACATGGTTGAAGGAAAGGATGGGTGGATGCATCGTCTGTCCAGATGGAGGGATGAAAAGGGATTTTTCTCTTTGTTCTGTTTCATGGAGCAATCCTTTAGTTTTTTTTCTTCTTCTCTGTTATGAGTTGGGAAGGCTTTTAAAAATGATCCATGAGATAAAAGTAGTAGAAATCTCTTCTACTCCACCTCTTGAATAACAGGTGCTTTGATCAAAATGTCTATTTTTATCTGAATGCCATCTGGGCTGTCACCTGCCTAAGCTTTTATTTTGTTAAACTCAGGAATGTAGATCATTTTGAGAATGTAAATCTACTTATGGCTTTTCTCCTTTCTTTCTAGTGTGGGAGGAGTTGGCCTGCTATGAGGAAAACACACGGGATTTTCTTTTCCCTGAACCCAAGCTGACACCTTCGCTCCCTGGGATGTGCAGGGAGGTGCTCATGAAGACGATTGCAGGGTTTCCAGTAAGTGGTTCCTGCCCAGCCTGGACTTCTGTGGGGAGAGATTCTTGGGACTTGGACATTTTAGTTCTGTCCCAGACAGGGCTTGTTCTTGGGATGATCACTTCATCTTGGTTAGTACCCTTGTGTAGCAGCCCTGTTTAGATGCCCCTTTCAAAAACCAAATTATACTGATTTCCCCCACTGCTGATCTGAGAGGTGGTGGTGGGGGAGGGGTCTTAACCTAATCAGGGCAAATCATTGCCTTATTCACACTGTCACATACTTACAAGGATGCTTTTCCACCTCCTCTTAATGCAGACTAATGGAAAGATTTAATTACCAGTTTATTTAATCGTAGCTATTGTTTTAGTAGTAATAATGGAAGCAAATAGAATCGTGAGAGTAATAATGCCGCCTCTCATTTATTTTGAGCTTTCGGGTTTTCCTTTTTTTTTTTTTTTTAAGATTTTATTTATTTATTTGACAGAGAGAGAGACAGCGAGAGAGGGAACACAAGCAGGGAGAGTGGGAGAGGGAGAAGCAGGCTTCCCGCCAAGCAGGGAGCCCGATGCAGGGCTGGATCCCAGGACCCCAGGACCTTGACCTGAGCCAAAGGCAGACGCTTAATGACTGAGCCACCCAGGCGCCCCGACGTTTTGGGTTTTCCTATGGTATGTTATTTCCGTGATGGCTCTCGTCAGCCAAGGCAGATGTCAGGAGTTTCCACTTAATGGCAAGGAAACGGACAGAGGTTCACAGACGTACTACTAAAGGATCTTAAAAGACACAGTAGTTATTCAGATGACAATCTGTTTTGCGGGCATTATCTGAACCCAAATTCAGGACATTCATTTTGCTGGTATCTGTGATGGTTTCTAACCCCACGGCAGCTCTGACAATTTTCTCAACCTTTATGTTACTTGGATGGTCTCTGTTGGAAGGGCCGCAGCTTTATGAATTTAAAAAGCCTGTTTAATACTCACTTTTCTCTTACTCCCCCGTGAATCGTTATTGTTATAATTTCGTAAAATGTTATCGCTTCCCGTTTTGTTGAGAGTAAGTGAAGAATATGTAACATGAGGACCCTTGTTTCTGTGATGTTTATGATGACAGAACTTCTAGTTCTAATATTTCAAGCAGCAAACATGCATCCAAAGTTGTCCTCATCAGAATTGCTAATGAGCATAACTTTAAACCCTCCATAATCTTTGACGGTTTGGTGAAGATCACTGACACCATTTTTTCCCCTCAGAGATACTCTTTGTCTGTCACTTACATCCGTGGTACTTGTGAGAAGGCTTGCCTTTATTATTTTGAGTTATTGGTATACTGCTTTTCAGACTCTAAAAGGACAAAAACTGGTGAGAACCAAGTAGGGGATACTCTTTATATTAACTTTGGTTAATATAAAGTTATATAATATAACTGAGTTTTCTATGTAGTCAAAGCCATCTGCAAACACGGGGCTGGTATGCAGCTGGGTATCACGACGAGGAGAAACACACGTTCTTGACTTCTCCCAAATGTTGTCTCTGTTTAACTTCATGAGCATAATAAGTAGGAAGAAGAACATATAGGATTTGTGTTTACAGTTACTCATAAACGAAGGTAGTCATCAGAGAAAGGGCTTTAAACTGCAGGGAAAGATCCTCACACATTAGAGGTAAAGTATCAGTGAAGTTATGAAAACTGTGTTTTAAACCATTTGTAAAAAAGTGGAACTCAATTTCTCTCAAATGTTCTAGAAGGTAAAACAAAACCAGTCACCACAGTTTTAATGATGGCTGACATTCGTTGCGTTCTCCCTAGATGCCAGGTACCGTGCTGAGTTTGATACGTGACTTATCTTGTTCCATCCTCCTTAACCCTGCAAGGTGGCTGTTACTCTTTTCCTGTCTTATGGTTGGGGAAACTGGCAGAGGGAGTTTAAGAAATGTGCTCAAAGCCACAGGGCTGGTGAGTGATGGAGCAGGGTTCTCATGCTTTCTTGTCGGGCTTGGTCACTGCAAGAGGCTGATTCTCTCATGGATTACAGGTTCATTATTCACTTCATTATTTTCCCTTAAGTTATTAATTCATTAAGAATTAGATTTATTTCCTCCACAAGAATGTGACCTTTTCTTGGTATTTCCATATTTCATTTTATTTCACTTGATAGCTTGACAGCTTTTTCTCCCTCCTTTTCTTGGCAAGGTCAAGAATTTTGTTTTGTTTTGTTTTGTTCTGTTTGGGCTTTTTGCTTAATTTTAATTTTCTTTTAAACTGGGCTTTATGCGCAGCGTGGGGCTTGAACTCACGACCCCAAGGTCAGGAGTCGCACACTCTACCGCCTAAGCCAGCCAGGCGCCCCAAGAATTTTCTTTTTAATGTAATTTGTTTTCTTGTTAGGTCAAGACTGACTCTGTTAAAGTAAGCAGAAAGAATATTATTATTTCTTAATTATTAACTTTTAGTTAATAATTTCATTTTTCCTTTAGTGCCGTGATTCTAGAAAAACTGTACTGTTAAATCCATTTGTTGGCCTAACCATCATCACCCTCCTCCTGTTGCTAAGGAAACTGGGCAAGAGAGAGCCTGTAAATTTCAGCTCTAAACTATTATACTAAAATCAGTACTGCTGTGAAAAAGGAAGTACATCCCCCTTAGGGTCTGAAGTCATTGTCAGGAGTGGAGGTTATGGGAGGCGAACAAGAATGTGTTACAGGGTGTGGATTCCTTGCAGGTAGAGCCCCCCCTTCCCCCCCAGGCAGACTGGAGCGGGGGTTGGAAGGCTGGCTAGGCAGCCACATGTGCAGAGGTTAAGTGTGGGCCCCGATTGTCTGGGTTCAGTCCTAGTTGTGTCACTCAGTGACTGTGACTTTGGGTAAATTACTTAGTCTCTGTGTACCTCGGTTTCCTCAGCTGTAAAATGCGCTGACAATAGTACTTCCCCCATCAAATGAGGGTTAAATCTATGTGTCGTGTTTAGCATGCTCTCTGGCATATAGTCAAGCACACGATGTGAACGGTTACAGTTCGTTGTACTGTTGTTCAGGGGTTAACATGGCCTCCCCGCGAGGCGATGAGACAGCGACACAAGTCTGTGCCTCAAGTGGTGACTTGTTCAGGCTCAGACAGCTGGGCCGCGGGGGACCCGAGGTTTGGTACACACAGGAGGTCTTGTGATTCCATCGGTCGCGCTGTGGACCTTGGAGCTCCCCAGCCCTCCTCTTTGTGTGGGTAGTCTCCTAACTGGAGGTGAGGCTGATCCGGCCAGAGGTCTTGTACATTGTTTGACATATGCCCCCCCCCCCCCCCCGCATCATCGGGCTCTGCAGCAATGGAGCTCATGTGTTTGTACGCCCAGAAATCTTGAGTCACCAGTCCAGGCCTACCACGTGTATGGGCATACTGCGTTCTAGAGGCCAAAAAAAAAAAAAAAGCGCTGAGGATCTAGGCTGTGCTTGTAAGAACTTGTTTTGCAGACCAGATGAATGCACAGGAATGAACGTGCAGAGGAAGGAATAAATAGGCAGGAAACAAGCGAACTCCTGGCTCTCCTGATCCCCAGCTGTGTGACACCGGAGAGACCCACCTCTCCAAGCCTGCTCCCTCCCATGTAAAATGGGGACATAATTGTGTGCTATCCAGGCTGCGTGTATATGTTTTATTTTTCAGCTTTACTGATGTATAATCAAATAAATATTGTATACATTTAAGGTGTACAACTTGATGTTTTAATATACAATGTGAAAGAATTGCCACAATCAAGCTAATTAACTTATCCATCCCTTATTATTACTCGTTTAGCCGTTTCCTTTTTCTTTTCTTTTCCTTCCCTCCGTCTCTCCCTCTCTCCCTCTCTCTCTCTCTCTCTTTCTTTGCTTAAGATCTACCCTCATAGAAAATTTCAAATTGACACTATAGTATTAACTATAGTCAATTGCTGCACATCAGATAGACCTCTAGAACTTAGTCATCTCGCATAATTTGTGCCCTTGACCACCCATCCTCCAGCCCCTGGCAAACAGCACTGTCTTCTCCTACGAGTTTGGCTGTTTTAGATCCCACACGTAAGTAAGGCACACCACATTTGTCTCTCTGTGTCTGGCTTATTTCACTCAGCATAATGTCCTCTAGTTTCTTTCATGTTGTCATAAAAGGCAGAATTCCTTCTTTTTAAAGGCTGAATAGTATTCCATCATATATATATTTGTTATGTATATATTTTAGGTAATATGTGTGGATTATGCCAACCGCACAAAAAAATAATTAGGTTCTTACATGCTTTCAAGTTAGATGGGGTGGGCTGAGAATCTATTTCCAGTAATTTTATTTGGTTCTTTTATGCTGTTTTATTTTTAGGGCATTGCTCCCAAAATAGAGTTTTCTACAAGGACAGCCATCAGAGAACGAGTGTTTCTGCAAAGAAACAGATTTTCTGTAAGTATAACCAAGAAGCCAGTGATAGAACTGGTCATGAATTTTCTCCATAGATTTAAAGAATTTCAGCCCAAACTTGGTTACCAAGTTTAGATGGCAACTGGATGAATAGAAACCTGGAGATTTATCACTAGGTTTGAATTTCTATATTCAGACTGTTTGTTCAGCCTATCACATTAGACTGAGTGTGTTTGACATGTATTCATCATGGTATAGTTAGTGGAACAAGAGATATAAAAGCTAAAATCACAAGTTTGACATAAGTAGGCCAGTTAGCTTTCTTGTTATTGTTTCACGACTTTTACTCTTGATCTTATGAATAACTGTGTTCCTTCTTTCTTTTGCTGAGGCCGCAGCTCAGAGTTGTATTTGTGGGTCCTCTAGGCCTTGGGGCATCCTTGAGCACCCCCTCCATTTCACTGTCATGTTCAGCCCTAATTTCCCCGTCACGCTGATTGCTTTTGGTCTTTCTTTTTACCTTGTTGTACATAATTTTTAACGATTTAAAATCCTTTGTAGAACAATATGGAAAATGAATGAATGTAATTCGTAAAGCTTCTTCAGGTACTTTGCTTGTCATCCCAAATCTTGCCTGGTGTCTTGGAAAATCCTTGGAAGTGTAGGCTGTGGGTTGAGGGGTACTGAATGCAAAGGTCATTAATCTGTGCAAAGCCATCAATCCTCTGGGCATCATAACTCATAATAGGAGGCAAATGATTAATTTTAAGGAAGGCATTCACTGCTTTTTATTTTTTTAAACATTTTTAAAATTGATTTATTTATCTTAGAAAGAGAGAGAGAGAGAGCATGAGCAGGAGGGGCAGAGGGAGATGGAGAGAGAATCCCAAGCAGACTCTACACTGAGCACAGAGCCGGACATGGGGCTTGATCTCATGACCCTGAGATCACAACCTGAGCTGAAATCAAGAGCTGGTTGCTAGCTGACTGAGCCACCCAGGTGCCCCTGCACTGTTTGCTTTTCAGTTTTTCCCTATTTACCCACTATTTTCTTTTCTTTTCTTTTTTTTTTTTTTTTGCGAGAGAGAGAATGGGAGACAGAGAGCATGAGAGGGAGGAGGGTCAGAGGGAGAAGCAGACTCCCCGCCGAGCAGGGAGCCCGATGTGGGACTCGATCCCGGGACTCCAGGATCATGACCTGAGCCGAAGGCAGTCGCCCAACCAACTGAGCCACCCAGGCGCCCTCCCCACTATTTTCTCCAGTCTGATATGGGTGCACAGTGATCTTTCAGTCTGTCTCTCTCTTCCACTCCACCATTTTAATCTTGTTTTGGCTTCTTAATATAGGTCTTCCGTTAAGTGTTAACTTTTTAAAGTAATAGCTCTTACTGTTTTTTTTTTCTTATAACAAAAGTATTTAGTTTAGAAAACTAGAAAATACAGATGAGCAAACAGGACAAAATAAAAATAAAATTGCCTGTCATTCTTATTATGTAGGGATGGGCATGACTCATTTTTTTGAGTATATTCTTCCATACACACACACACACACACACATTATTTTAATTTTAAAAACTGGGATCATGCAATACTGCATATGATTTTGTATCTTTCCTTTTTGACTTAATGTGCCATGGCACATTTAATTAATTAAATCTTTTTTTTTTTTTTTTTTAAAAAGACCAAACAGGGGTTGAAGGACTGGAGGGTAAAAGGGTCACTGAAGTGACAGACATAGTAACTAAAGGAAGCAGCTTCCATCCCTAGGGCTGGGGAACCAGGGGAAGAGGTGGGGTCATCAAGGACGTAGGAGCCTGAGGAAGAGACCCCACACAGGTGGGACCAGACCTGTGGGGAGGGGCTGCTTGCCTGGGTGCTTCCTCGGGGGTTCAGAGGCGGGGCTCTGATGAATGGGACTCAGACCTCTGTGAGGGACAGTGCTCACTGCTGGTGTCTCTGGAGCTTGGAGGGCAGGTCCTGTGGGGCAGGACTCAAAGCTCTGGGGCGGGGGCACTCTGGCTGGCTGGTGCTGGGAGGTCTGAGCCAGGCACGGTGAGGCTCGGTCTGGGGTTATGGGGGGAAAACTATACACTGGCACCGTGTGCCTCTCTCAAGGTGAAGCCCGGTTGCTGGGGTGATGCTGTCGGGAGTAGAAGGCAGAACTGGGAGTGGGAGTCCTGGCTTCCTCCTCCCAGCTTGCAGCCTCCTTCTAGCGCCTCCTAGTGGTGGAGCCTCTACTGAACAGCTGAAAGAGCAGAAGGGTTTGCCCCAGTACCCTCAAGCTGATATATTAGAGCAAGGTGGGTTTGGAGCGGAGTGGAAATTGCTTACTCACCAGTATAGCTGATTTCCCATTTTTTGAATGGTTATAAGAATGTCTGTAGCTGGGGCGCCTGGGTGGCTCAGTCGGTTAAGCATCTGCCTTCGGCTCAGGGTCCTGGGATCCAGTCCCGCATGGGTCTTCCTGCTTAGCGGGGAGCCTGCTTCTCCCTCTCCCTCTGCCCCTGCTAGTGTTCTCTCTCTCAAATAAATAAAATAAAATCTTTTTTTAAAAAGAAAAAGAATGTAGCTATACACACACATAATTATTTCCTTATAATAAATTCCTTGAAAAATTGCTGGACCCGGGTGTGGGCCAGATTCATCCCCCTCTTCAATCATCATGATGAGGGAGGAGTGTCTGATACCTTCCAACTTTGTCTTACTGCAAATAATTTTCACTGTTTCTGGTTGAAATATATTACGCCAGCGAGTTATAACTACTAGTGATGTTAAGCTGAGCTAAAGAAAAACTAAGGAGAGAATACCCTTTCTGAAGTTCATGTTTAGCAAATCTGAGATGTTCAGTCTTCTTCCTTAAACAAAGTTCAGTTCAATATAGTTATATTCTGATTGAATTTTTCTTCTTTTTTCTCCATTTTCCATTTTTTTAAAAACAGTGTTTCTTGTTTTGGTTTCAGGAAGAAAAATATAATAAGTCAAGAAGGCCTTTATCTGCAACAGATGGACCCAAGCTCCCCATAAATAATATGAAGACGAAGCCAAAGGAGAGTAATCTCAACAGACTGCCCCAAAGCATGCAGTCCCGTGCGCCCTCTCCCGTTTCCGCCCGGCGCTGCTTTCACGACCAGCCAGCTCAACTGAACCTTGGAAATAATGTCAGAATCTCCGGGGGAAGCAAACCTCCATTTGTAGTTAGACACGTGAGCCTAAAATTATTTTTCAGAGTCTGGAAGGGTGAAGGTGCGAATGAGGATAAAATCCAAGAAGGTTGGGCCATAAAAACAAATGAGTGATATTAAATAAAGAGGGAATTCATTTTTTTTTTGAGCTAGAAACATTTCATCTTTTTATCTATTATTTTTTTATGTATTTTTGTATTATGTTCAATTAGCCAACATAGAGTACATCATTAGTTTTGGATGTAGTGTTCAACGATTCCTTAGTCACTTATAACAACACCCAGTGCTCATCACCACACGTGCCCTCCTCAATACCCATCCCCCAGTTACCCCGTCCCCCCACCCCCTCCCCTCTGTAACCCTCAGGTTGTTTCCCGAAGTCCAGAGTCTCTCATGGTTTGTCTCCCTCTCTGATTTCTTCCCATTTAGTTTTCCCTCCCTTCCCCTGTGGTCCTCTGTATTATTCCTATGTTCCGCATAGGAGTAAAACCATATGATAATGGTCTTTCTCTGCCTGACTTATTTCACTCAGCATAATCCCCTCCAGTTCCATCCATGTTGATGCACATGGTGGGCGTTCATCCTTTCTGATGGCTGAGTACTATTCCATTGTATATATGAACCACATCTTCTTTATCCGTCTGTTCATTTTTTCAAAAAGATTTTATTTATTTATTTATTTATTTATTTATTTATCAGAGGGAGAGAGAGAACACAGCACGGAGGAGGGGCAGGGCCAGAGGCAGAGGGAGAAGCAGGCTTCCTGCTGAGCAGGGAGCCCAATGCGGGGCTTGATCCCAGGGCCCTGGGATCGTGACCTGAGCTGAAGGCAGAGACCCTTAACCGACTGAGCCACCCAGGCGCCCCTAAAGAGGGAATTCAAATTGAATAATAACTATGATTAGATGAAGTTCGCTGCCTAGAGTCATTGTCAGGCAAGTCATACAAAGATGTCTCGTGCAGAGGACTTGCTCAGTTAAATGTCAGTCATCCCTATTTTTAATTTTTGAAAATTATTAATAGAGTGTGATGCCTGCTTGTGACAACCTGCCATTTTTTTATCAGCAAACTGACGGGTAGAAGACACACATAACAAAGGCCGGCATGTGCTCTGTAGCAATAGAAAAGGACAGCTTCCTATGTTTTAAAGAAAACTGCTTGAGTTTTTAAAATGAGGTTGTTGTTCATTGTCAGGACAAATGTGTCTGCAGGAAGAAGCAATGATGTGCCTACTCAAAGCCCTTCCTTAAAGCTATCTTAGATTTAGCCTCCAGGAAGTAGTGGGTAAATGTAATTACACTAGCCTCCTGACATTGTGTTGCCTGTGAAAGTAATGGAAAATAGAGAAAAATTAAAAAAAATTACCTATTGGCTTACCAGCATAATATGAATAAAAATTTATTTCATTTAGTGCATTTCCTTTCACTTTTTACAATTTCATAAGGTTTTTTACCCCATAAAGCTGTAATTATACTGGATATACAGACTAGTTTCTCAATATATATATGGTTAATATTACGTTAAAAGCATTTCCTATAGCACGTTGTGGTTAATGACTTATTCTCGAAGAGTTATTATAACTTCAGTAGTTAACTGTTGATATTCTTGCCAAGTTGATAACTTGGCTTAAAGTTACCGGTGGTGTTTATGCATTAGATATAAGATGTGAAGCATTGTCAGCCCCGAAGTGAGGGTGCTGTTGATTGGGACGACGGTATGCAGAGGTGGTTTGTAGGTACAACAGATGTTATTTGGCTAGAAACCATAGAACAGCTGTTTTCCTTGTGGTCACCTGGGTAAAAATGGCAAAAGTCTAGCAACCAGTCTTTAAACATGGCTTTATAAAAATATTGTTGAATTGAATTTATTGGACAGTCTGCTTCATTCCATTTGAAATAGATTTTTGTGAAGTACACTGTAGTCGAGGCCCCTTGGGCTAAATAATCTTAAAATCTTGGTAGATTTCGTAGGGAATAAAACTGGCTTGATATTTATTTTATTTAACAAATTCTTGTACAGCCTCTACTATGTACCATGCTCTTTTCTAAAGGCTTTATACATACTAACTCTTTTATTTAGCCAGATTTCCTGATCGTACGTGATGTTTAAGTAGAAGCATTAAAATTTAGAGGGCCTAATGTCGTGAAGACTAGACATTCTAATCAATATGTTTCTGAAAGTAGGATGAAGAATAACATTATAACTTGCTTTCTTGAAATTAAAAAGAAAAAGAAACAAGATTAAAAAAAGATCCAGCAACTCTATGTGATAAATATTCTGGAGGAGTCCCTATTTCACGTGTTTGGACCTGCTTACAGATCATGTTATCCGATTCAGGAAAATAAGGTCACATTCATTAAAATAATGCAGTTGCCACTATTCTTTTTTTTCAAGGTTCTAGACACTCAGATTGGAAGGGAGTGTGGATGGCTGAAATGTCAGCTGGTGATAATCCCTTGTCTTCAGGGAGGACCCCACCTAGGCCAGCACTGCTCACTGTTTAGGAACATGAAAACTCTGTCCTGTTTTGAAGTATTTTGAAATTAACTTCACTTGCTCTTTTCTGAGCTCGACCCTGAAACTGTGATTAGAATATAATTTGTGTCCGACTTTATGCTAACATTTAGCCCATACCTACGTGTTTAAGCCTCAGTGAAATAGGGACAGACAGCTTCCCTTGTTAGGATAACATTTAATGTGCATGGAGACTGTGATTTAATTTGTTCCTAGCCTCTTCTTACCGGCATGGCCCACAGGTGAGGGGGAAAAAGGCATTACAGGTAATGAGGAGAGGGTAACCCAAGCGATGGTGGGTTCAAATCTTATTTCTTCCCTTTCTTTCAGGTGGACAGTGCAAAGCCTTTTGGTGAGAATATTTCAGAGTATCAGTCCCGGAAGTCGAGAAGAAAACTTAAGTTTTCAAACTTGCCTTTTCCGGGGAGAAGAGGTACTTGAGTTTCTCATTACCCCCCGTACATTCCCCAGTGGGAACGAATGCATCCTCCTTCTAAATCTTCTTTCATTCTGGGGCATCCCGACTTTCTCTGGAAACTTGAGGCCTAATTCTCAAGTAGCGTCCAGCTGTGGAGTTTGCAGGGTGGGAGCTCCCCCGGAGCAGAGCTGGATGAGAAGCTGTCCCTTGCCCAGTTTCCTTAGCTGTTGAAGGAGTGTGCTCTGAGTAATGCCACCACCCATGTACTCTGCTGCAGGTGCACCCTGGCTGGGCTGGACACCCAGGGGATGGCTTGTTCTGGTGTGAACGCCCTCAATGAACACTGAGAGCTCACAGATGAGGCTTGCCATTTCTCTAGATGGGCAAGAGTGGGAGCTTGGTGGAGATCAGGAGGTGTAACATTTGCTTTACAAGATTGCGGATCAGGGAGGAGAGGAGCCAGTGCTCCCTGAAGGGAGATTCAGTGTGGCTAAGGCAGGCAATCCCAACCGTGGAGGCGTCAGGACCCTTTTGCGTTCTTAAATATTATTGAGGACCCCAGAACACTTTTGTTTATGCGGATGAGATCTATTAATATTTAGCATATTAGAAATGGAAACTGAGAAATTTGTAAAATACAGGAGTACACAAGCACACATTCTGTTAGCCATTCCGAGTGGTGATGTCATGACACATCATGTAGCTCTTGGAAAATTCCATTGTACGGTCATGAGAGAATGAGAAAAAGAGAACTCATGTCTTAGTGTTATTAGAAGAGTCTTGACCTTGCAGATCTTCTTGGTGACCCTGGGGAGATCCCTGGGCGTACCATATGTTGCGAGTCACTGAGTTAATGCATCCCTTGGCGGCACTGACCTTATAATTGAACCCCCTGCACCATGTCAGCTCTGAAGGTCATGGCAGTGAGGTTCATCCATTCCTGAACTTGATCAAAATGCTGGCCCGTTTTCTTGACTCCTGGTGGAACTAGACCTAGACCGTCCCTGACAACAGGTTCCCTATGTTAGGTTTAAAGTCTTGTACTTTTAAGGGGCTGCACGGTCTCTTTTGGTAACTCAGACCAGTGCTCTTGGTTATGGTGATTGTTAGTAGCCAACTAGGGACAGAGTGCAGTTTTGAGGCAGAAAGTGCTTTATCACCTCTGACATTTAAGTCTTTTGGGTTGAAAATCACCCACGTAGCCTATAAAAGCAGTACTGCGTTCCCTATTATGGTGAAATCAAACAATGGCAAATGTCCTTTCCGGGGACGACACGTTGGGCTTAATGCTGGCTCAGTTACGATGAGACTCTCACGCATCGCACTGGTCTTGGTCTCTGTCTTTTCTTAACCCTGGCAGGTGGAGAAGTGAGGCTCCAGAGAGCTTACAGGGTGCGCACTGGTCATGCTCCCAGTTTTGGCACACCCACGTTTAGAGAAGACGCTCAGACCTCTGGTTTCTCAGACCCCTGGAGTCCCTGTAGCTTCCAAGCCAGACCTTTGCTTAGGTCACCTGTCAGCTCATTCATCCAGGCCTTTGCTTAGGTCACCTGTCAGCTCATTCATCCAGGCCTTTGCTTAGGTCACCTGTC